GGGAGGAGAACGGTAGTCCGTGACCTAGCTGCACGGGGACGTGCAGCCCTGAGGGGGGTGGATTGTGAGATCCTGGTATCCCACATCGGTTACGGAGGGGGGAGTTGCTGGGCTTATAAGTAAGCCTTCAGCCCTTACCTTGCAAGAGGCCTTTTCCCAGGGAACCCCTGGGAGGAACAACCCTTGAGGGCAGGGAGGAGAACGGTGTTCCGTGACCCTGTGCCAAAGAGGACAATATCTTGCTGGGTAGTGGGGGGGTGTTAAACTCTCCCTGTTTATAGGTCCGGAATAAAGGTAGTCTTAGTATATAAGAAAACTCTGATTCGCAAACGACCGATCGATCGGTGGGAGGATGATTGTCACTGAAATATGAGGGTTGAAACTGTGAGTGTGTTCTTCAACAACACAAGGACATGGAGACCCTAACCTAATGTGTACCTATGTATTTTTATTCTCGTATTAACTTTGTGGCTACAATATGTTTTACTTGGATTTAATGTACCTGTTTAATCTTTGTACCTATGGATAAACATCAATCATTATGGATAATATACTTGAATAAGAGAACATTATGGATAATGTACATTGTCACAAATAATGACTCACCAATAAATCATGTATTTATGTCAGAAAATCCATAGGGTATATCTCAACAAGGTACATTACAAAAAAAAAAACTAAAAACATATTTATTAGACCACAAAAAAAAAAAATCAGTTTGATCAAAACAATGAAACCCAATTTATTGGATACAAAATCAATTATTGGAAACAAAAATAAAAATAAAAATAGTGAATTTGAAGGTCAAATCGCAATAGTACATGTCTTTCTATTATGTCATCCTAACAAACCAACATCTAACACACTTCATTTGTCTTCCTTGATCAGCCTAGTGGCTTTCTTGTAATGGGAGGTCTGATAAAATTTCAAATGTTGAATCCTCTTTAGGCTTTTCTATATCAGGAATAGGATTAATGGAGCTGAAATAACAAAGTCTACAGAACTCCGTCTTAAAATAATCCTCAATGTACTCATATACATATTTTGATTTCTTCTAAATTGTCATTAAGGCATGCACACACGAAAAACCTCTAATCTACCATAGACAACACGAACAAAAATGGTTCTGCAAGTCAACCATCACTGAAATCCTCTACATGAACCTCAAACACAAACTCACTAGAACGACTAACATTTGAATGTCTTCCCATTGACAAATTTTCATTCAACAATTTCTCATACTTCAACCATTGAATTGATGTCCACTAACTGCATTCCTCATTCTTGTTTGATATTATCATTATCTTTATATATACACCATCAATCATACGACAAACAGGCAAAAATCGTTCCTCAACAATTCAAGCATTAAATGACTTTGTCACATTTGAACACATTTCCCTATAACGCTAACCCCTAAATTATGCATTGGACCAATTTTTAGAAGGCAAATTGGCCAAAAACCTATGCAACAAAGGTCCTTTTCCGGTTAGATATGAACGTGATCAACCTTCCTTTTTGAATTAAAATACATGCTAAAATCTCTAAGAATCAACTCTAGTTACACTCATTCTCAGAATCAACATATGTAAATGCTAATGTGTAAAATCCTAAAGAATAAACACATGCAGTCATCACAAAAATATATTTTAAATAATGTATCTATGATACAAATCTATACTACTAATAAAAGTACCTTAAGATGAAAATTTTTGAATCTCTATTTTACCCTTCATAAAAGATTACAAAGACTACTTTATCCTTTCACAATTAAATATTTAAATTACTATCATATCCTTATATATTTAAATTTTCAAATTATGTATAACATCTTTTAATTATCTATTCTCTATGTATAAATATCAATTTTTATAAAACATTTTGATTGACTATATTGCACTTAAAAAATATATGCATCATTATATTTTCAATAAAGTATTCAAAAAATCTTCAAAAACTTTATCAGTATAATATTTCTTACTACTAATAAAAGTACCTTGAGATTAAAATTTTTTGAATATCTATTTTACCTTTTATAAATGATTGCAAAGACTACTTTATCATTTCAGAATTAAATATCTAAATTACTATCATATCCTTATGTATTTAAATCTTCATTTCTTTTAATTATCTATTCTCTATGTACAAACATCAATTTTTATAAAAGTTTTTAATTGACTATATTGCACTTAAAAAAATATGCATCATTATATTTTCAAGAAAGTGATCAAAAAATCTTCAAAAACTTTATCAATCAAATATTTCTTAACCATATGCAAATATAACATTATACCTACACACACACACACACACACACACATATATATATATTTTCTTTTTCATCGAAAATTTTAACTCTTTCATATCTAAGATAAAAAACAATAGTATATATAGTTTTTAAAATCAATTTATGTTACATCAGTTTAATTCTTCAGTCACAATTAATTTTCTAAGTTGTACTAAGATTTGATGTAAAATAGATATTGTAGTATATTTTTCAGTAAAACTTGAATTTTAATATGCTTGATACTATATGTTATAGAGTAGTATATTAAATCTTATCCCAATTAACCTAACTAATTTCTAATCATAGTAAGGTTCTATTGTGATTAAGATATATATTGATATTTACTTTTATTTTATTCAAGAAATTATAAGTTGAATCTTAATCAAATGAATTTAAAAAAATTTAATTTCTCAAACATCAATAAAAAATCAATCTCAATCACAAAATTCTAAAAATATAGAACTTTAACAATTTCTTTTTTATCTTTTTTTTAATAGTTAGAACAAAGAATTTTGGGAACATACAAAGTTTTCATAATCTTATAATAGATTATAAGTAATGAAAAATTAAGTTTGATAAATTTGAGATGATATCTAATTCAAATACACATATACTTAATATGTTTTATTAATTTTTGTGTATAAAAACTATTCACGTGTGACCCACGTGGTGCATTGCTAATAGTTACATAAATTTATATATTTAAAAATGTTTGACAAGCATCAACTATATTCACAACATACTCAATCAACAACCAATACCTAAATTAAACAACAAACAACAACAGTTGCATAAGCAATAGCTACTAACATTGGTTGCCATTCTTCCCAGTAACAACAAGCAAATGTACTTGTTTTTCAAATATGTACCATCAAGTAATAATATAGTCCAACAATATTTTAATCCTTGTATATAAGCTGCGTACGAAATAAATAATCTTGTGAAGCAGGAACTTTGGGGATCACACTCTAAAACACAATTACAACCCGGATTTGTTCGCATCATAGAATTCATATACCAACTCAACTGATTGTACGACAATGATTCATCACCATGGACCTGACATTTTGTCATCTCCTTTCCATACCAAGTGTTATGGTAGAGAATATCCAAATCATAGTATTTCTTGAAATCCTTAACCGTCTCAATTGGCTTAATCAATAGTTTATCTTTGATTTGCTTAACCAAAATAGATGAGACAATATTAGATTGCATCATTGTGCACCCTTTTGCTCACGATAAATTTCTGTCCCAAACGACTAATATAATTATTCCATAAATCAGATAGGTGTGACCTCTTCACTGTATGATTGAATCTACCCAAAAATTCACTATCATTTGAAGATATTGTCTAATTCACAAAACACAGACAAATCTACATTGTTTCCATCACTCACTTGACTCGACTAAACATTGTTATGCAATACGTATAGATCAATGAATTTTGAATTTGTGAATGACTGAGACAACATCATAAGTCTAACATCCTTATCAGATTTAACCAAATATTTGCGGTTATCATTTATACAATAACTTACACTAAAAACAGATCCTTTTAAACCTTCAAAACTGAAAGTTATCTCATTACAAAGATCCTCAGACGTACTACAATTGTTGAGAACAACAACAAAAGTAACAAAATCAAACGTAGACCTCGCAATGACAATTCCTTCCATCCCCTAACAAAGAAATATTCAAACCGTCAAAATACATACAAATGAACAATATGTACATAACAAATAATCAAAATTTTGACACAATGGTTACGTATCCATCCTTAGCAAAACTAATAAAATGAATATGAAAGGTAATGATGCTAAAAAAATTCATGATCACACATACAAAAAAACTGCATTAACAAACACAATAGGTACACAATTAATATTTAAGTGTTTCATAGGTACACAACATATAAATCCACGACAAAAAAAATACAAGGTCATTCAAGTACATTATACGAATATATACATATGCAATATAGGTACACCATTCTTTAATTGAGAAGAATATACATATACACCATAACAAATACACAAAATAAAATTACATATATGCCATTACACATATGTTAAACGCAAACATACATAAACAACATAACATATACGATGAACATCATACACGATCTTTAAGGTACGATATACAAATATTAAATATATTCACAAGATACGTATATCGTTATTTACTTGAAAAGAATATACATATACGTTATTATAGATATACAATTATATATTCTTAACTGCTCCGATATAATTAATGTACCTAATAGATATAAGTTAAAGGTCTTTCAAATTGCTTGGTTTACCAATTTGAAATTTAAAACTGATATACAATACCACAAAATCCTCAATAACAAACAATTAAAAAAATTAAGTGTATTTTTGGCTTAAATTATGTGAAGAGGGCAAAATAGGTAATAAAAATATACTAATTATCCAACTCGTATATGTTAGCGTCGTCATAGGGACCCACATACCACTTTTTTAAAATGTTGAAAGACCTTTTTATATATTAATAATCTAGTATGATTAAAATTGGTTTACCAACCAAAGGAGGGACTGTCCTAATTTATTATACTAGACATTAGGGGGGATTTTGTGTAAATTTCCCAAATTAAAACCCCATTGATATAGGCTAGGGTTTACAAGCCCCAATGCTGGGACCGTCTCTTAAGCAGTAAAACCCTTCCACAATCTCTCCGTACGGTTAATCTACAATGGAAGACGAGCCCTTTTTGTATGATGCCCTAAGCCCCCTCTCCACCGCTGACCAGCCAGCGCCGCCGCCGCCGTCCTCCGACGACTCCGAACCCTACGTCGTGTTGCGTAATCAAATTTCTCTATCTTCTATTCGATACCCCTCACTGGAAGTCGCCGCACCCGATTACTTCTCTCTCGACGTCGACGCCGTCGCCGAGGAACCGAACGAGCCTTTGATTTATACTCCGTCTCCGACACCGATTCGGGAAACGGAGCGGAGGCTTGAGGGGAATTGGTTTCGGGCCAATTGTCGGTTCAAGAGCCCCATGCTTCAGCTACACAAAGGTATCAATATTGCTGTAGATTGTTTTACTTTGATACTAAACGAGAACCTTGTGTACTCATATTTTAAGTTTTTAAACGTGCTGGTGGTTTAGAATTAGTTGGCAATTTCTATGACAATATTGACTTTGATTGTGAAGCTAAACTGATTACTATGAAGGGGTTGATAATTTCAACTGCTGTTTGTTGGAGATTTTTACTTTTATTTTGATATTTGGTTGAGTTCCAATGCTGTTAACGTTCTACCTATTCATATAAATACATTACCTTTATAGGAGCTACTTGAAGAATTGTTGGGTTGTAGGGTCGGATTCCAATAATGTTTAGGCATGTGGATATTGGATAAGACCCGAGTTTCCCTGGCACAAATGACATGATTTGATTTGTTGTTTTGTTGCTTTGAGGCAACCGTAGTAATTTCAGGAATCAGTGTACTACAATTTTGTTAGGAGTGTTTTTTGTGGCTTGTTTCCTGACCAAGGATGTTGCAGAGATACTGGATTTCTGTGATTTCCTCTCTCCAACTCCAGAGGAGCAAGCTATCCGTCTTGCAGCTGTAGAGAGTGTCTTTGGTGTAATTAGATATATCTGGCCTAACTGTAAGGTATGTTCCCTGGATTTCCTGTCATATATAGATTTTTTTTTTTTTTGAATAGGTCAAGATCGTTAAATGTTAAATTTTTTGTATTGCATTGCAGCCAGAAGTTTTTGGGTCGTTCAAAACAGGCCTTTATCTTCCATCTAGTGATATTGATGTAAGTTTGTTTCTTCCTGCTAGTTATTTATTAGTAAGAAATTTAGGGACAGTCATTTCTACCGTAATGTAGTCCCATTGCTGGTAGTTGTACAACTTGCATCAGTGTTATGGTTTATTTCAGAACCAAGAAAGTTAAGCCATTTGAACTAGTAATTTCTTCAAAGAAAAGTATGTGATTTAATTATCTCTTGGAATCCTAATGATTAATGTGGAAGATATTGATTGTTGCTAAAAAGAAAGTTGAGGGTTTCAAGCAATCACATTTGTTGCAAGAATAAATTTCATTTGTTTTGATTATGACATATTTTCCTGAAATTCACGGATTCTTTTACTCGTAAGCATGATTTTTCTTTATGTGCTGAGGAATGAATCTATTCAAGATATTTTGAAGATTTATATTAAACTTAAGCAAGAGGCTGATTGCTGAATTTCAGGTTGTAATTTTGGGGTCAGACATCAAAAGTCCTCAAATTGGCTTACATGCTCTTTCTAGAGCCCTATCCCAAAGGGGCATTGCAAAGAAGATACAGGTGTGCCTCTTTAAACAGTTAGAATATCGGGATTTTCAATTTAGAATATCAGGATTTTCAATTTTACCATCTTACTATTTTCTGTACCAGCTGTTTTGTTATTTTGTCATTTTTTATTGTCTAAAGTTTTCTTTGTCTATATCAGGTGATTGCAAAGGCTCGTGTGCCAATTATCAAATTTGTGGAGAAGAGAAGTGGTGTTGCATTCGATATAAGGTTTGTAGTGCCTAACTGCCTATTCTATTTTTTATGACACATTTTTCCTTCCTTTGGTTTTCTGTCTGTACAGTTGCATCCTTGATTTGAATAGTTCATGAGCCCCAAAGTTCAGAAAAGTTACAGTTTGATATCTCGAAGGAGATATTATGCGAAGATGTTGATGGTCATTGACCCAGTATTGTTTGGACCTAAAATGATTATCTTAAACTGTTTCTAGGTTATATTGTCAATACGCATAGTACATTTCAGTTGAGTTATGGTTTACTATTCTCTCTACTTTTTTTTTTGTCAACAAACTTGTTACTATCAAGTTTTTAGTGCACAACATTGTTTGGATATATAATGGTTGATGGCTTGAGTGTCAGAATAGCAGCAAATTCAGTGCATCAATTTCTAAGTATGGACCTGGCTGCTTTGCAAACCACCAAGGCCATTACGTAGACTAGGTTTTCGTCTTAATGCATGCCAAAAGTATATTATGGTTTGAGTCTCAGAATAGTTACAAAATTCAGTGCATCATTTTCTAAGCATATTGGGCCTTGCTGCTTTGCAAAATGTCCAGGACCATTAAGTAGGCATTCTTTGCCTATGTTTTCATGTTAATGCATGTCAATGAGTATATTATTGTTTGTTCGCTTATGTCAAATTACATGTTATTCTTATACTGAGAAGTGCTTCTGTTGATTTATTTCTCTTGGTTACAGTTTCGATGTGCAAAATGGACCAAAAGCTGCTGAGTTTATAGAGGTTTATTCAATATCTCGTTTCTTAGATACTATACTTGAATGTTATTTACGTTGTTTTGATTTACTAATATATATGGTTCTCTTTTCAGGATGCTGTATGTAAGTGGCCTCCATTGCGGCCCCTGTGTCTGATATTGAAAGTTTTTCTTCAACAAAGAGAGTTGAATGAGGTGTAGTTTTATTTTCACTTTGTTGTAGCTAATGTGTTGGCCACCTTTCGGTTGAATCTGCCTCATATTGGACTCCTCTTGTTATGAAGGTATATTCTGGTGGAATTGGTTCCTATGCGCTCCTTACGATGCTCATAGCAACGATGCAGGTAATTGGCATTAGAATCTGTTGTGGAATGTTGAATATAATGTGACTACATTGTGCTACATCTGGCAAGTTTTAATTTGGAACATGAAGCCGATGAAATGATAAAAAAGTTAATAATCTCCTGATTGAATCAATTTTGAATTTGTATGTACTTTGGATAGTTTATCTTGTTTTCTTTTTTCGGAGGTCTCTATCTGTGTACAGCACAATTGGACTTGGGCTGCTTTCTGTCTTTGGTACTTCTTTGTGGTTTGTTAATTGTTACCCTTCAAGAAAAAAGTGATTGCAACGATTGACGGATGACAAGTAGACTACTAAGTACAACATGAGCATGATACACTGTACCTGTAGCGTTGTTACATTGTCTTTTTTTTTTTTTTGAATATTATTGTCTGATACTATCCTAAAAGCGTCGCTGATCAGAAGACTTACTATCCTAACATTCTCTATATAAAGTAGTAGACAACCAATACCATTCTCTTTCTGTTGGATGTTAGTTTTTCAATTCATATTGTGAAAAATAGTTAAGACTGATTTTCAATCTTTTCTGATCATGTTGTAAAAAAAAAGTCGTGTCCAGTACACAAGGCTCCGGCATATTGCTTGTGGGGGAAAGATTAGTGGTAGGTAAGCTTACCTCCATTTTTTGAGTGGTTGATTCCCGGACTTGAGCTATGTATAATGACGAGTTGTGCGCTCCTCCTTTCCCTCTCCACTTCCTTTCCTCACCAAAATCTTTTTTTGTTGCTATCAATTTTTCTCTTTGTTTAGGAAAGGTACTTTTCTACTTTTTAAGGTATGTCGTACGTGTCTACAAATGCCCTAAAATTTTTAACTACCAGTCCAAATTTCAAGCATTTTGGTGAAAAAGAAAAAAGTTAAGACTTCTATTTATGAATACATTCAGGACAGATTAAAAGTGACAACTTTTTTGAGAATTGTGGATGTCTGCCAGATGTTCAACAATTTTCCAAAATGACGTGGAATTATCTTTGGTGCATATCTTTGTAAGAATTATATTTTATGTTTTTATTTTTAATTTTTCTGATGTAATAGAATCTTGGTGTTGGACTATTAGTCTGTGTAAGCTTCCCTTTAATATATGGTGCTATTATTCATTCATCTGGTAATTCTAAGAGGATTGTGTACCTAGATACACACTAACTCGAGAATTTCCGGCTATGCTTATTATTTTTTTGATTTATGGTTACTAGAATATTGATTGAAGGTAGGCCTACAAATTGTTCGCTCACTGGAAATAAAGGTCCATGAGGTTGCTAGAGTGAAGGAAACGAGCAGCCTTGGTGAAACCTGAGTTTTTGAGGTTTTACCCAGGGATGTGTTTTTGAGATTGAATGATGAGATGAAAATATTAAACACTGTCTGACTGACGTCTTTTGTGCTGCCTTTGGAGCTGTAGTTCTCTGTGATAATCATCTTTAGACACTGGTTTGTCAAATAATTTAGCTGCTTTTCGAGAGATCTTTTACTGCAGTTTGTTGCTTTGAAGATGTTCTGGTCTGCCATTCAAAATATGAAAAAAAAAATATTTTTGTGCACCACTTCAAAGCCAATTTCATCTTACATAAATTGTTGAATAAAATCAATTATCAGTTCCTTATGCCCTATTGATTAACATCTTTGATCTTCTAATGATTTCTTGCTTTTTCTTATGCATTTTATCATGCAGAGTCTCAGTGATTGCCAAGCTTCTCCTGAACGTAACCTGGGAGTGCTTTTGGTATGATTTCCCTAGCAACTAGATTGCTTATTTTTTGCTTTTTTGTTTGGCCAAGTTGTTGAGGTGGCATGTATTTTTTATCTTGATATGTTGAGCATTGACATTCCTGTCTAAGTTTGATAGTTCTATTTAGCATATCATCATAAGAAATGATATAAGTTGTAACTTTATGAATTTCCACGTTTTCACTATGTTGGTATTTATTGCCAGGTCAACTTTTTTGACATTTATGGACGCAAACTGAATACATGCGACATTGGTGTATCTTGCAGTGTGGGAGGCACATTCTTCCTGAAGAGTTGTAAAGGGTGAGAGATCTTTGTGATATACATATAACTTGTGTCTGAGTCTGGTCATGCCATAAATAACTTCTCAAAATTTGATTATTGCTTCCTTGTGTCTTTCCTCCTCCTTTAGGTTTTCAATTAAAGCACGACCATTTCTTATCTCCATTGAGGACCCACAGGTTACTTGCAAAGTTATATTTTGTTGGCTATGTTTTTTCCAGAGGGATATATTTAGAAGTCTCAGAGCACATCCATGGGGGTGTATTCTGACCGGAACACTTGATATTCTTAAGTTTGTTATTCTTGTTTTGATTTAAAGCTGGGCTTCTTTCTCTTGGTTGGGTGGATATGTCCCTGTAGCATGTCTGGGATGCCTAGGCAGGATCCAAGAGAGATTGGGGTAACCTTTACCCCCAATTTTTCTGTTTGTTCAGTTCAAAACTAGGGTGGTTATGCAAGGGTTTTTTTTTTATGTTAAAATGATGGGCTTGCATTGCTGCACTTTTGGACTGAATGAACCGTAAAATGGGGGCATGGGATGACCTTTGCTCTCTAGCAACAATATTGTCTTCTACTGAATATTGATGTGATATATTTTTGGTAAAATAGGCACCAGAGAATGACATAGGGAAGAACTCCTTCAACTATTTCCAGGTGAGTTCCTCCATGGTTTCATTTTTCAACACTTGCATTAAAATGCCTCTATAAAGTCATCTTAATTATCGTGAGGACGAGGATCATCCTGACAATCTGTGCCTTTTGAATTTCTATTATATGTGAGATAGAATATATGATCTTCTAATTAGGAAAAAAAATGATATGTAATCAATCTGTTCCTCCATAATTTGTTCTGAGGAATTAATGATGTATTAGGAAAATAGATTGCCAAAGACATGTGTTAGGGTTTCACAAGCCTCAGGTATATGGTTGTCGATGATTTTTTTAGAGCTCGTGATTGCGATCGTGTTGCAATCCTGTCATTGAATATCTCATGATGCCACATATGCTGGCATTCGGAAAAAATGGATTATTGGAACTGTCTTGGTGCAACTCCTTTCAGGTGAATCAATACAGTAATTGTTTTTCCGCCTGCACAAGTGGGTAATTGTAATATTGTTTGGCAAATGATTGTAAAAGGGAAGTTCTTTCTCCTTGCCAAGTGACTATCAGTTAAAATTAATATGGAGTTTAGCAACGTCATGACTATGGTTTGCTATTTTAACTCCCACCAAGGACATGATTTTTGCTCAGTGAGCTAGGGTGGAAACTCAATTTTTTTTTATACTCGCCTGCCCTCCTTTTGACTGTTAACTAAATTTGTCTACTCTATTTGCTTGCTACAAATCAGAATAATCAAAGTAAATCTGCCTTCAATGTCACAAGAAGCTCAATTTGGTCTTCAGTTTGTTTGCTTTGAAGAAAAACCATAATAATAATGCATGAATACCTTGACCTGATTTGTGACAACTTCTATTGGTTTTTGCTCCTGCAGGTTAGATCTGCTTTTGCTATGGCTTTCTCAACGCTGACAAATGCGAAGACCATTTTGGGCCTGGGCCCAAACAGGAGCATTCTTGGTACCATAATAAGACCAGATAAAGTACTGTTGGAACGAAAAGGGGGGCCTAATGGCGAGGTGACATTTAATAACTTGCTTCCAGGGGCCGGAGAACCATTGCAGCAACAGTGTAGTAATCAGCAGGGAATCTATTGTAATTGGCAGATAGATGATGAAGAACCACCGCTGCCCCGAGGAAATGCTATTGTGGATGCTAGTAGTGCTCAGTCCTCTGGAAAGAAGAGGAAGTCGTCAAAAGAAAAGAAGGTTGTTAAAAAGGTGAAGGAAAATGGGGATTTGGGAATGGTCAGACATCAAGAAAATGGCTTTAGGAAGGAGAAGAGTGTGAAGAAGCAGCGTTGGAGACGTTATGGGAATGGTGGTGAAAGCACTGGTTACAGTTATCAAGGTGGAGGTATGCCATGGAGTCGCACCTGTTAATTGGCTTCTCGAGTGGGGTGCTCATTCATCAGTTATCCCACCTTGGAATCTGGTATGAAGCTTGGTTTGTATAAGATTGTGTTTTTCTGTGATCATAGCTGTTGGAACAGGTTTTGTTCAGCTTGGGGAGGTTTTGATCCGAGGTGTTGAGGATGAGGATCCACAGAGAGCTTCGGGTTGGATTTGATGTCCCCAAAGAAAATAGACCCTCTGACGCCCAGGTCAGTAACTTCATGTGAGCTCGGGTCGAAAAGTAATGCAACATGTGAATGTGGGAATCCGAGTGTGACACTTTGAGGGAAGTTAGTTGTCTTACTGATTTAGGAGGAGTATTTATCAGGATGCTTGTGGGTGAGGATAGTATTAGTTGTAATCAGAGGCGGGGTAAGATGACAAACTGAAATGATTGGACAAGAGGAATTAATACGCCTGCGACAGCTTCAAGTCCACGCAAGCCAGGCGTCACCATGCCTCCTTTATTTAGACAACACTCTTTAACTCGTATGCTTGTAAATCATGATTACAACTAAAACTACACTCACCCACAAGCATCCCTATAAACAGCCCTCATAAATGAGAAATAAAGGCAAGTAACTTCCATCTCACTGTGTCTCTTAATTCCTAAGAACAATCATGTACTATACTATCACTAACCATGCACGTTTACTTGCATTATTTTTTGACTTGAGCTTCTATACATATATCAACTTGAGCGTCAAAGGGATTTGGTAGGCAACAGTGTCACATTTGATACCTATTTTTTTTTGACTGAAATGTACTGAACATCAAATCCAAAGCGAAGCACTCTGTGGATCTTCCACACCTCGGATAGTGACCTCCGCGAGCTGAACGAAACCTGTTCCAACAATAGCAAAGGTGATCAGCAAAAATGATCTGCTGATCACCTCATTAAAGTTGCAGAATTGCGGTGTTAGGATTACTACTGCAATTTCATCGGTAGTTCACCTTCTGCACCGACTTTGATTGGAAGCACAATTTTTGGGGTCTGATGGTGCTTAACTGTGGAGAGGGCGGATGGGATTCTGCCATGGTTGAAGCTCATCGTATGAGGTGTTATTGCTTTGGCTTAATGTTGAGTGTACAATTGTAGCGATGTGGTGGTTTTTTTTTGTTTTAGTGAGCTTTTAGGCTGTGTAATCAAGTATTAAGTTCATTATAAAAAAAAAAATTCAATTAATAAGTTCAAAAAAGGGTGCCACCCAATCAGGTATCTCTCTCTCTCTCTCTCTCTCACACACACGCGCACACAGAGAGACACACACACACAAAATTGGCAATGTATGCAGGTTGGCCATGGTGATTTTGGGGGCTGGACGATGGTGATTGGTGGGGCTGGGGTGGGTGCTGGATATAGGCTAGGTGTTGGGGATTTGGTGGTGGGTAGGGTGGAAGTGGTGGATCTTGGGATTTGTTTGTTTGCCTTTTCTAGGATGGTTGGAGTTTCGCTGTTTCTTAAGTTGAATTTTTTAGAAACTTAGAAAGTATTTAGTTAGACCCAACCAAAAATGAAAGCAAAAATCTTTTATTGATATAGATATGAAGTTAAAATGGTCGAAACTTGCATGGCACTGAGCTTCTAAGATAAAAAACGGCTCCATCATCAAGAATAACAACTTTCCAAATAAACATTCTAATGATAGGACATTGATCTCGTAACACCAAATGTGGGCAAGAGAATCATAGGGGAATTAACTAATATAATTTGATCAGTGCAAATCACTGGTGATAAAGGATATAGTTGAGAATAGAAATATTGGTTAAAGACAAAATATGTAAATATAAAATTTTCTGGATGGTGTTAAAAGTATAGATATAGATTTCTTATTAATTCATTGTTCTCCAGTTAACCTTTGTATTTCATGCTTTGTTATAGAATATGACGGTGCTCGGAAATACTGGCCCAAGCCCAGAACTATATTTGGGGATTTAGTGAGGGGATATAGTGGGTAAACAGGTCCAAAAAGCGATCGAACTGTGAGAAGCAAACAAAGACAATATATAAGTAGTTCACCTTAGTCAAAAGACTAAGGCTATGTCCACTATAAATGAGTCTTTTGCTCACTATAAATGAGTCTTTTGCTCTTTAGGGGTATATATTTCTTAAGAGAATTGTTACAGTGATTTTGCTTGGCCTTGAGCCTTTACAGGAGAAGGTTTTGTGAATACAAATTGCCAAGAGTGGCTAGTAATAGATGTTGAGGGGAAGACGATGAATCTCCCTTTTACAATGTAATAGTGTCCTATTTATACAAGCAATCTCTCTATGGCTTCCGGTGTCTTTTGCCTTCTTTCATGCTGATTTTGTGTGTCCTTTTCTTTTTGTCCTGCAGTGATCTCTGCCATGTAAGCTATTGCACCCACGTCCCTCAAATGGTTACACGTATTGAAATATTCTATGGCACAGGTTGTGCGTTCGTTATAGGCGCTAGAAGTGGTCCCCTTGTCCCCTAAACACGTGGTATGATGGGAGAAATTTGGGGTAATCGAGGAACCAAGCTCCTGGGCTCCGAATTGGTCGTCTACTGAGTTGGATTAGGTTTGTGTTGGACCCTTGGACCTCTGGTGTGTATGGGCTTTCTTCCTTATGGCCCAATTTGCCCTTTGAACAAGTAGGTGGGCTGTTTGGGTGGTTTTACAAACAATGGCCTTTCGAGCGAATTGAGATTTTTGATTGGGCAACCCATCTTCAAATCCCATCATTATCAGTTGCCCCCCAGCCCTAGATCACGAGGATGACATCAACTCTAACCTGGGGTTAAAATTGTCTTTTTTGAAGTTGGCACGATTTCCCTAGGTGACGGTTGCACATCATTGCTGACGTTGTTCTTAGGGCATGCTGGGCTAACCTATGTCTACTGTGATGGGACGGTTATGCTTGGAAAGGCGCACGTGTCAGTTGCAGGAGGGTCTTTTTGTACGAATTCCTTCGCACATTCTGTGTCATGTTCTGTCAGGAAATCAATGCTAAGTATAAAAAGAGGAAAAATCCTTTTGTCTTTCCCACTTGGTGTTTTTGAATCCTCATCTCTTCTTGCCTTTTTTCTTCCTTTGGCTTCTGAGGCGTCTTGTTCCAAGATCTTTGGCGATTTAAGGTTTTCGCGTTTCCAGTTTATTTCTGCTTCTAGTGTCTGACTAGGTACGTTTCTTTCCCTTCCTTCTTTTTGCTCGATCTGGATCCCTTCAATGCTCCCTAGTGGGGCTTTGGGTTTCATTTTATGGTTTGGAGATTTAGCTACTTCAGGAATCATTTCGATGATTTTTCTTCTCTTTTGCAATTTGTAGACCACTCTTCGTTGTTGAGGTTATCTTTTTTTAGGACCTGGTCTCTAAAACCCTTGTTCTTAATAGACTGTGTCTTGCATTTGCCTTCTATTCACTTTGGTTTGCGATCTGAGCCATCGATTGGGAGGGTTGTAGTTTCTCCTTCTGAGTTCGAGTTTGAGGAGCAAGTTGATGAGGAGGTTACCGCGACTTCCTCTAGTGGCCGTTCTAAGGAAAGAGCTTTTGTTCCCACCGCTAGCAACGCATCTGTTGGTGGTGATTGATTTTTCCTTTCTTTGGCAAAAAACTTAGAATCTTTTCCTAGGGAACATGATGAGGAGACTTTTGCGTTCGCCCTTGAAGTTTCGACCTTAGCTTTTCTAGTAGAGGCTCAGGTTCCTTTAGCTTTACCCCCATTTCCTCTAACCAATCTAAGAATAGAAAGTCTAAGGTGACTCCGCCTTCTATACCCAAGAAGAAAACTCGTTGTGATTAATCTTACTTGACTTGTTGTGCGGAGTCGACTTCTAGTCGTCTTGATGACGAGGATCTGGAGGAGTTGAGGCAGGAATATAATTTTCTTGATTATGTATCCTTGCATTCTCCTAAGGAGCATGAAAGGTGCAATTCATCAATTCCCGGGTTGACCTGTTTCTTTGAATTTGCATTCTAGGTTGGTATCCGATTTCCTGTTCATCCCTTTTTTTGAAATGTTCTTGTTTTTTATAATGTTTTTCCAGCTCGGCTTTCTCCGAATGGCTGGGGTCTTCTAATTGGATTCCTTATTCACTGGTTCGAGAGTGGGAATGACTTTCCCCCCACCATTCGAGAATTTGCCTCCTTCTTCCAGCTTAAATCTTCCCATTCCTTAGGGTTTTTTGTATTTTGCCAAAAGGGTAAAGACGACGAATTTGATTTCTGGGCTCCCCTCCTTCAACAAGGGATGGAAGCTGAAGTTTTTCTTTGTTAGATGCGATTCTCGAGAGCTGTCAAGAGAGCCTGGTGATGTTCCTTGCATCCCTAGATTTTGGGGTGTTCTAAGGAATACTGTGTTCTTCTTTCCATATTTGTTTTCATCATTGTCTTGCTAACTCTTGATTTGACCTGTAGGTTTCTGTCCAACACTTAACGCAGACGAGGCGGCTAGAGTTTCTAGAGCCAAGTCCCTTGGGTTGTAAACTTTTCCCGAGCTTGTGACTAATGAGAATCTTGTGAAGTATGAGCTCGGGCCACTTGTCGAGCCTGCTCCGGAAATAGCACCATTCCTTGCCCCCCAGCTTGAATCCATGGATCAAGACCTCATCATGGTGGTTTTCTCGGACGCCAAGAAGGCGAGAAGGAAGAGGAAGCTGGTGAAGAGTTCAGCATTCCTCCTAAGGAGGGGCAGGCGTCTGGGTAGACGCTAGCTACCTTGGAGGAAAAATGTGAGATCCTTGCCTTCCTTGAATGTGCTAGCTCACCTTCTTTGCCCCCCGAGCTCTCCAAGGGCGAATCTGTATCCGAGGAGTCTTTGCTTGCGCGGCCTACGGCTCCAGCAGCTTCCCACGTCCCACCTCAGTCTGTTCCGTGGAAGGTTGGTAAGGGGGAATCCATCCCATCCTAGTCCAAAATCCAAGGGGCAGATTTCTTCGTGACCCCGAGGCCGCTGTGACTACCCTGATCGAGTTGGTTCCCATATCGGATCTAGTGGCGGGTAGGTAAGTTTCTTTCAAAAATAAGACTCATCGTGCCATCCAGGACTTAGCTGAGGTATCCCACATTTGTTGTTTTCCTTTTTTCTCCAAAGTACTCTTTCTGAGGTGTTTTCATGGTTTTCTCGTGTTGACTAACTTCCCCTTTGGTTAGTCACTCGCTTGTGTGAGGATGATAGACTTCCATTATGAGCAAGAGCTGATGGAAACCAAG